AGTTGCGTACTCTTGGACGATCTTATTCTAACTATCCATTATTGTAACTCCCAGCAAATACCATGCAACTAGTTATATATGTAACGTACCTCTGTTAACTGTAATTTCTCACTCAACGATACAACTAAAATATAAAACGTGAGTTATATTAAAGTCACATTGAGAAATTATAATTAACAGGTCGTTATATTATGTAAATTGGTGTTTGGCTGAGTATCTACAAAGTATCAACAAGTAGGCCATATTAGGTACTAAGTTATATATATTGGATTTAGTTAGCTCACCATAAACCAAATGTGCTCGAGCACTGTCATCGTCTCGATAAACATGTCTTCTTGATGCATAAAGCCACTATGACGTCTCATATATGAAGAGTCGGCTGGTACGCCATTGACGCGAACATCGCCGTGCACCACAACGCCGGCTGCCAATCCAAGTAAAAACAAGTTTCGAATGTCTTCGTCTTTTTAAAAAATTCAATTATATGAAAATTCTACCTACATTCGGCGCGAAATGCCAATGCTGTCATCAGCGAGCTTTTTCCAGCACCGCTACACAGTTGGGAAATTTGTGTTAAATTTAACACATTTCACGAGTCCCAAACAGTCAATTTTTTATGTTAATTTAATACAAGATGCAGAATATGTTAGAAAATAACATAAATATTATGTAAAAAATTAATATACAAATGTAATACTGACACAATTTGTAAGCGAATAACATATATGGAAGTATATATTTTTTCAATAACATTAACATTTATGATATGTTAATTAACATGTATTTTATTTATTTATTTTCCAGAAAAGATATTTCCCCCAAATATTTCTCAAATATTCCTCTCCGATTTTAACAAATTTTTAATTTGTTGTTTTGTAGACAAAAATAATAAGAGATATGAATTTTTTGATATCGCATTTTTAAGGAGTGAAACATTTCTTAGAAAAAAATTGGTTTTTTTCTTTCGAAGCGTAAAAATATCATTGAAACCATAAAAAATAGAAAAAAATGTTTAACCCTTAGTACACACCTCAGTGTTTGGTAGCCTTACTACACACAATGGGCCTTTCGTGTCCTAGATTAATTTTTATCACTTTTACAAGTATAAAAAAATTATTAAATGATTTTTTGACAGCTTTAGAAAGTATTTGTAAAGTTGTATATTTATAACAAATTGTATATGGTTCATGTGACAAAGAATGTCACATGAGAAAAAATTGTTTGGATTACGAACATTAATTGATCTATGTATGTATTAATTGTGCAGTGATTACAGATAATTTACCTGCCGCCTAAGATAGCAGTAAGTTCGCCAGGCTGTACCACACCTCGAACTGAAAGTGCGACAAATGTTATCACCGTTTCATTTTATGTTATATGTGAAATAATATATTTTGTTTAAATACCGTTGTTGATGAGCTGTTTGCTTATGGTGCGTCGATTCTGGTCCATCGCATAAATAGATAAGTTTTGCCAAGAAAGCATCGTTCCTTCTTGGTACATTCTACGTCGAGGTGCATCAAGCTTAACATCCATTACGTTAATTCTATAAGAGAATGCAAAACGAATACATTTTATCTGGTTTTTTTCTCAATTTTTTTCTTTAGAGAGACGCAATTTTCGAAACATCTTTATCTTATGGTAATCGCAAAAACGATCTTCAAACACGATAACAAATCCCAAAAAATTTTTAAATATGGCAGATTAAAATCGTGACAAGATACACAGATAGTGACATGATCATATATTCCTAATAATTACTCAGCTGTATTTAATATACCCAAAATTCCTGTCTCTATTTGTTCTATAGCATTATCAGCATTAAATATGATCACATAAGTTTTTTATAGCAACACTCTAGCCGGAATCCATAGTTCGTTCTTAATATCAAGACAATCTTAAACAATATCTTAAGATGCTAATACGGCTCTCTGATTGGTTTATGACATCTCAAGCACTAGCTTAAGACTATCTCGAATCTTGAGCAACGTCTATGGATTCCGTCGTTTGTGTTGCTATAATTTGACTAAATTTATCAATACTTTATTTGACGTGTTGTTTAATATTCTATATTTTGTTAAAAGTTTATCTTTACGGAATAAATTATTATTTTCATGCAATTAATAAAGTGTCTTTATTGGGTCAAAAATGTAAAATGATATTAAAATTATAAAAAATTTAGGTTTCGAATATATAGAACGATATATAAAAATCGATATATTTGTTTATTAACTTGATAAAAGTAACTTTTAGAAACAAAATCTTAGAATATTTCAGAATTTGTAGGTATATATAAAGATTCTAAAAAAGATGTAGATTTTCTTACAATTAAAAAAAAATATTACAGTTTATATGAAAAATATAAGAAATTTTTTGATAAATTATTCAAGAAATTTTTTAAAAGTAACAGATTCTAAAAAATTTTGAAATTTATATAGAAATTCTAAAAAATTATATGAAGAATTTTAAGAAAAATTTTCGCCAGAAATATCTTCAAAGCTTAATAAGATAAGTCTTTATAAGATTGAATCAAGCTTTCTTTGATGAAAATATTTTTATAATATTTTTGATACATTAAATTCTGAAGATTAAAAAAAGATACTTTTTAAATTTTTCTAGAGTTTATAAGTTTTTTTCTTGGAAATTACTTAAAGAGAAACCTTAGAATATTTTAGAATTCTATAAAGATGTAGCGACTTTCTCAACATTTCTGATATGCATTTTGATTTGTATAAAAATTCCGACAAATTTACAAAATTATATAGAAATTGTAAAAAATTCCAAGAAATTTATATAAAAATTCTAAAAATAATATGTATAAAAATTTTAAGAAAAATGTTCACAGAGTGTCTACAAATCTAATTTTTAGACAATGCTATATTTTCATAATACGAGATGATGCGGCATAAATAAATTACCTTTATTATATTGATGTACTTAATCCTGATAACAATAGGGTGTAATCGTTGATGCACAACAATTTGTGCAAATAACTGTAGAACGTTACACGTGACTGTAGAAGGATAAGAAACCGATAAGATATATCACGAAATGAAGATTGACACTGTAAAAGCACAACTTTTGCAGGCGTCGCGTTTGCTTCTCGTCAGCGCGAGTAACTGGTCTACCATTCGATGCACCTGATGCACTTCGTTTGTGCTCACTTCCCTTCTTCGCTCTTCTTTTCAACCGAACATTACGCGTGTACTAACGTAATATAACATCAATATTAGAAAAACTCGTCCAAGTTTATCGATCGCAAAAAGTTTACATTATAGAGAGATACGAATACGCACATTTTATCTTTTCTCATTGAATATTAATATTAATGATCACGATATATTAAATTATTATTAATATTAAAATTGTGAGAAATTATTGCGATTATTGCAGAGTCGGCATGTGCGAACAATGATTGAACAGCTGTGCAATAATTTGACACTTACGAATCGATAGTTCGTTCGATTCGCGGATGCGTAAAGTAAGCGCATAGACACCCATCCGAGGCTTTCTCCCGCTTCCGAAAAATATCCTCCTTATTGTAGCAAATGTTCGTGACTCAGGCGACTTGTGGTAATCGAAAACCGAAACCCTACGCGTACGTCAAGCGAGACAGACGAGTGGCCAGTTCGGGCCGATCTTATTTCGCTATTGGAATTGTCGCACATTGCTTTTTAACATTAGCATAGTGACGATAACGGCCTTTTTCCTCGCATTTGTATCTTATTACTTCTTTGCCTGCTTCCAGCCGAATGCCGACAATCCCGGCACGATCTTCAACTCGCGGACCGACAGCAATATCGCGAGTATATATATCATCTATATAGATCTCGGTGTTCTACTTTTTATTTTTTTTCTACAACATACTTGAAGATCTCTTGAGATTGTTTGTCATATCTCTATATCACATGCGGTCGCACGGTATGTATGGTAACCGGTTTGTAATAATATCTAGCGAACGAAAGAGTGGTCAGCCCCGATACAGGAAATGCGGCCGGCATGTAGGTGGTAGCTGTGTTGTTTCGTTATGTCAAAGTACATTTTTTCTAAGTTCTTATTACGTGGCCTTTTGCGGTCATCGCGCGTCAACATCGATATTTTCAACGGTATTCATAAATTACACTTAATAATCATGTTTGTAAATTTTCAAACTTGCAGCTAGGTATATAAATACTCTGTCAAAGATCTGAAATTGCACATATAAAATTAAGTAATATTTTAGTGAAAAATTACATAAAAGTTCAATTTATGTCGTAATCCATTGCTAATGCCAACGTTTCGTAAAATTTATCATTAATATTATATTTAGCCTAGAGTTGTGATTTATGTAGCATTATTTAATTAAAAAAAATAAATTACACTTATAGAGCTTTTTTTCTAAAACTAAATTATAAACTATTTTAGAAGATAAATGAAAAAGTCTTCCGTCAGAAAATTAACTTGCAGTTACATTTCCTAGATTAGTCGTAAAAAATTGATTAAATGTAAGGATGATTACTTTGACAAAAAATATCTAATATCCATTAATACTTTTCGTGTAAAAAATTCTATAAAAATATTATTTGTAGAACTTTCAAACATTTTATATTATTTTTCATTTTACTATAAGATGAGCAAAATAATAAAAATATGTTAAACTATAATATGCACAATGGTGGATAGCAAACTGATGTAATTTATTGCCATTTTGATGTCAAATAAATATAAAATGACAATAAAAACGTTAAAATAATAACAAATTCAGCTTGCTATCTAGAAAATTTTATTTTATTTATTTCTACTATATAAAATTTTATTTTATATAGTAAACATTTTCGATTAATATGGTTTCCAGCAAAAGCAGGCTGTATAAATATTTATATGTTTCAAAATTCTCGACTCAAAATATTATAGCAAGAAAGTTTTCGAAAAATTAAGTAAAATAGTTGTTTGTAAGTTTTTATTTTAAGCAGTAATTTTTCAAAATAATAAGTATATATATTAAGTGTGATATTGATTTATTGTGAAAATCTTTTTGATGGCGGAGATACTCAAGTGCAAGATACAAAAATTTTATTAAAATTGTTTATTGAAAGTACACACAGCATTAGAGCAAATCGTTACTGATGATACATAAGACTACTTTGAGCGGAAGGTTTTTGATAGTAGCGCGAAAAATGCCAGAAAGCGGAACGCTATGATAAGCGCAAACAAGCAGATAATATCCATCCAAAAGTCCTCTTCTTTGAAATTGAAAGTTTGAAGAATCGTACGCCCTGATTTTGGACATGTCACATTGCTTCTGGTGCACGCTATAGAATCGACCTCTGACCACTGATTGATCAAAAGTGCCTCGTTGCCGTAACGAAACCAAGATAAATATGAAAACCATACGAAGTAGGATGGTACGGACCTACATTACACATGAAAAATCGATATTTTAATCAGCATTTCGGTCATTGTTGTTCGAAATAATGTGAGATACTCACGCTGTGTTTAAGAAAAAGCCACCAAAAAGTAAAAACGGAATTATAACTGGGGGACCAACGGAGAGAGCCACAGATATGCGGTTGCTGATACAAGATATTAAATAGCCTGCAAGAGAAATAAAACTAAATAATTATTTAAAAAAGAAAGATAACACTATATGTTAGTGTATTCTGTAAACGTATCCAGGAAGAGAATTGGGAGGATTTAAACTGTCCCAAAATTTTTATTTTTTTCATTTTTAATTATAAAAAATATCATTCTCCCTCTCTACTTTTGATTCTGAGTAATATTTTTTGTCATGTAAAATATTTTTTGCCCATTATGACCATGTAAATAACTTTCGTTAGTTAGAATTTCTATTAGAAATCAGAAAAGAGAAGGAGCCATTTAAACTTTAAAGTATCCAAAAAAGTGATTCATTATCACAAAATGTTTTCGTTTATGTGATAAAAAAATTGGTAAAAATTCTCCCCAAAAAAACATCCTGAATACACCTATGCCGTAAGCTTTCGATTACCGAATGAAGTCGACACGTTGCCTACGAGAGTTACTACAGCAGTAGCGACGAAGAAGTGCTTTACGTCTGGATAAAGACCAATCATAGGATAAACTATAGCAGTGAAGATCATCGGTATCGCTAAAAATATCGGCGCTTCTGCTAACGTCTTGCAGATGAAGTAGACATCGGTGCGATACATACCGTTCTTGTGTTCGCGAAGAAATATCGGCAACTCGGCGCAGAACACCTGTACGCAATACACGTGTATATTTTATATCTATTTCTACTTAGTTTTGATTTAAATTATTTTCTAGTTTTAATAGTAATTCTAGTAATTCTAATTAATAATAATTTTCTATATTCATTATCAGAGAAAAATATAGTGGTAGCAACTATATAGATGACGACTATATAATTTTTATATTATGTAGAATTAATGTACATAGTTGAATAAACTATTTTATATTTGCAATGCCTATAAAATAGTTTATTTACTTATTATATATTCATTTTTTCTACATATAAAACTTGTACAGTTGTCATCTATATAGTTGCTTCTACTATGTTTTCTTCGGACAATAAGTGTAAAAGAACTATTATATATTAACTTGAATTATTAGAATTACTATTAAAACTAAAAAAAGGTGCAACATTTTTCTTTGATGTTTATTTCTGTCAATGTAGATTATTTTAATCTTAGATTAATTTTTTTTATCTTTTCCTAGTCTTAAGAATTAGAAAAAGATAAGAGCGAATTAAACCGAGATTAAAATTAATCTACATTGATAAAAATGGATATAAGTGTAATGATATTCTAGTAAAAACTAGAAAGAGATAAAGAATAAATTAAACCGAGATTAAATTTAATCTACAATGGTAGAAATTCACATTAATAGAACACTAATTTTGCTGTTATCTCATGTTGTTTTCGATCACCATCACGGAATCGCAGATACGATTCAGTTATTTATACATTACGTCTTAAAGTCTCACGTTAATGACTGCGAAGACATTCTGAAAAGTCATATTGGTAAGGAAGATGAATAAGGCGCCGTTGATGTTCATCACGCCGTCCTGATCTATTCGCTGGCCGAAGTAAATGACGCCGATCAACAACGAGACCATCTGCAGCAGAAAATTTAAATTCGTTTTTTCGTAACTGTCTTTGTTATCTTTTGTACTTGTCAACGATTATTCGCGCAGATAAACAGTGCGTGAAAGAGCGTAAAGAGGATTCAATTATTTTATTAATCAAATAGATACATATCTTTACAAATTAAAATATGTAACTCTATAGTTTAATCTTCTTTCAAGTTTTGTAAATAGATTTAATATTGGAGGGAAACGTACAATAGTCTGCAGGAAGCGGACTTTAATGAGGATCGGTTCTTTAATCACCGATAGCCAGGATCGCCATAGAACCGCACGGAATTGTTCACACCAGCTGGCTTTGTAAACCGATCGGCTGGAATTCTTGGAATGATTGAACCGTCTGAGAGTATCTTCGAATTCGCCATGGACGGCCTCAGCCTTCAGAACGATATTTGTACCGTATTCGCTTCTCCGGAAAGTATCGCATGTCGTTTCGATCGCGTGTTTACAAGTTTGCTCGCGTCCCGGTACCACGGCTAACACTTGCACAAAGAAGTCAGCAGGGTTGTAATTGCTGGGACAGGGAGCTCCGAGCCTGCGACAAAATGTGAATTTTTTTAAAACGGCTTAAAAATAAACTCTTCAACCCGTGGACTTACGTCTTGAAGAAAGTACAAGCTTGCGCAGCTGTACCCATAAAGGCGACTCTTCCCTCGGCCATCAGCAGAATTTTGTCAAACAGAGCGAACAGCTCCGAAGATGGTTGATGTAAAGTGACGATGATCGTTTTACCACGTGCTGTTGAATTGTCTATTTATTAATCTTTTAAATGCAGAATAGCTTTGCTATATAATAAGGATCGGCACAAACTCACCCGCCAATGCTTTCAGAATGGAGACAACCTGATGAGCCATGAAAGAATCCAAACCCGACGTTGGCTCATCGCATAACATCAATGGAGGGTCAGTCAGTACCTCGGAAGCGAAAGACAATCTCTTCATCTCACCTCCCGAGAGGCCCTTCATTCTACCGGGTATTCCAATCACTGTGTTTCGGCATTTCGACAGGGCGAGCTACTTTCGAAAGGGACGCCATTAAATACAAGTTGTCCATAAGTTTTGAAACAAAAATCGTATAAAATAAAAAATATGTTAAAGATTTCGAATGTTTTTTATTAAAAATAGAATTCTTTACAATTAATATACATTGCTTTGATCTATTTTCTTTTTCAATCTTTGCATCATCGATTGAATAACTGTTCCCTTTATAAATGTCTTCAATTATTTACAGTTAGTAGTCAATTATTTACAGGTTACAGCAGCTTGATTTCTGGAATATCAAATCTTTAGTTTTTCAACTACAGTTTCGGAAACAAGAATTAAGTAGTCAGGGGAAGATAAGTCAAGTGAGAAGACTGGATGTAAAGTTACATTTTCTTTAGTAATTCGATGATATTTTATAAATTGAAACCGCTGTGACAGATCAATTAAAAACGATTGTAAAAGATATGAGTACTTTCAATAATTTCGATAGCAAAAATTAAAAACTTGAGCAGAGCGATATATTGATTGCAAAAAATCATATTTTAAATTAAAAACATGTTCAAAATGTTTTTCTGTTGTGTGTTCTTTAATTTATGAGTTTTCCTAAATAAATTATTATCTAAGTTTTAAGTATTGTAAGCCATAAGAAATTAATGTCGATTACTCTTCTCACATTCGACTGTGATTAGTCAATTTCGGCTTATTAATTTAATATTTAATAATTAATATTTAATATTTAATTAATATTTAATAATACGAACAATTATCAAGAGAAAGATTTTGAATTTTCTCGCTTGGAATATAGTAAGGGTATCTAATGATATATTCGACAACACAATTAAATTACTTCATTAATGACTTCATTAACTCGCTTAATTCTCTGATTACGAGGGATTTGCCGGTCCATTCGCACTGCCGCTTGGAACATTAGGTGTTCCGTCACAGTGAGCGTGCCAACAAACAGATCGTCTTGTTGCACATAAGCCATCCTCGAGGTAAGAACGCCCGGTGATATCCTTCGGCCATTGGCGGCCATCAGACCGGATGCAGACAGTCCATTTGCTAAACGAAACGTCAATGCGTTCAACAAGGTCGTCTTGCCTGCGCCTGACGCACCCATAATTACGAGCAGTTCACCGGGGTAAGCTACTCCGTATGCTAGAATGATTTATTCCGAAACAAAATAAAGACTAGAATAATGTATTTTGCAAAATTGTTAAATGTACAAAAATTAGACGAAAAGTTGCTTTTTTCGTTTTATTTTACCATCTTTTAATATGTGCTTTTGCGCAACGAATTTTCTGGACCTGAACATCAGCCGATCCCAAATTCTGTCATTTCTCACGCTGCAATACACATTCACATTGCTCCACGTATACGTAATATTGTTGCCAAAGCTTTCATTGTTAAAATCTGCGGCTGTCGACAAGCTCGAAATCGGCTTAAGATCAAACGAGTTCTCAGAGTTTCCGTCGTGCAATGTATTTCCTTCATTATCTTCCTATAACAATTGTAAAACGTATTTTCTTCTTTGATTTTGTTCAAGAGAAATAATAATATAACAAATACATCTTTACTAGTATTCTTTCCATTGTATATAAAGTATTCTCTGGTGGAAAACAAATTTTTTAATTTTATATTTTTAGAACTTTTTCATATTTTATGAAGATTTCTTAAAAAAGATTTTAAACTTCTTTTGATTTTATAAGTTTTCTTCGAAAATGATAGAATGAGAAATCTCAGAATATTTGGAGGGAATTCAGAATTTATTTATATTTAGGCCACATAGGATAAGATGTCGAAATCGCACCATTTTTCATTAAAGATTTTCCAATAAAAAATTTTAAAATATTTTAGAACTCACGTATATAAACAATTTTAGAAAAGATATTGACTTTCTTAGTATTTCCGAAGTGTTTCAATTTGTATGAAAAATCTGAGAAATTTTCGAAAATATTATAAATAAAATTATACAGAAATTTCGGAAAATATGAGGAAACCTTAGAAAAATTTTCGCTAGGAAAGAATATTATTTTAAAAATGCAGATATTTTCTCAGCATTTCTGAAGTAATTCCAGTTAATTCATATAAAAAATCTGAAAATTTTTCAAAAAGTTAGAAAATTTATAGAAATTTTGATAAAATTTATAGCACATTCTAAAGAAACCTTTCATCAGAGTTTCACACAAGCTATTGAATATTTTTTACGTATGTCTTTGTAGCCAATTTCAAAACAAATTTTTGAATAAAAATATCAAGAAATTTATTACGCCTTTTTTAATTATCTAACATTAAAAATTAATTTACCAAAGTTCTATTATTTTCGAATATTGAGTGAATCTCAACTTTGGTGTTTGTTAAAAGAAAGAAAAGTACCTAATTACATCCATCAAATAATCGAAGCTGATGAAGCCATAGACATAAATATCGTCTACGCTGAGTTTAAAAGAGCTGTCACGAGTACGAGAATAAAATACGTATGTACGCGTAAAATAAATTTTTAAAAAATACGCAAAAACGTTCCAACTAAAAATTATTTGTCACACAATCGCTACATCGACTCGCTATCTCTCGATATACCGCATTAATAGAACGTGATTATTATATCATATAAGTATCTTGCTTGTACTTACGAAGGAAATTGTACGATAAGTGACTCTTTGAATCTTACTAACAGAAGATGGAGACGTCGTAGATATCAATGGCTCTGTTTCTTCGGTAGCCGTCATTTTTATACGACTTTCCTCCGACACACCGGCAAGTACACTGACTAAAATACGAGTCTCTTATCTGATAATAAATAGAACGCTTTTACGTATTCCGCAGTAATTCTCATAACGCAGTAATTCTCCAAAGATCGGTTGTAATTCAAGGAAATTCAGGCTTCAGAGTTGGTTTTATTTACAACAGACACTGAGACTAATACAGAAGATCTATTCACGTTTCGTACGAAATAACATGTTTTGATACGAGAAATATTCTGTCGTGAGACGATGGATAAAAATAGCCGATTTATACGAATGATTGTTATTCGAGATATAACAGAAAATACGTTCGAAGAGCAAGCCGGCTTCTTTCCCCAGGATTACAGTATCGTGGATGCGTACAGACGTACACCTGCGTACAATGTGAAAGAACATACACGACATATACGCGGTGTGGAGATTGGTTCGAGGAACATATGCCCCTCTCCATATCCGATACGTTACCGTGTACTGCATATTTACAGTACAGCCCTATATACGCTCCGACAGGCCAAATCCGCGTAAATCCGTCTATAAAGAAATCAAAAGCAGCACTGAGAAATAAAATCAAGAGGCTTCAAGATGTATATACATATGTATATTAGGTATCTATCATGTGTATTTATTATGCGTATAAAGTTCTTTCTCCTTGTACGTTTCTCGACAATTTAAATTTTAAATATAATGTGCTAGTAAGTAATAAGAGGATGGTGATATGGATATGCAGCATTGACGCAGTCTGCAACATTATTTATTTTTTTTCCTAATGTATTAGAGATCATTATTTTACCTTACATTGTGGAGAGCGCGCGTACGGTCGTGCGTTTTAGAGCCGTTTTAGAAAGCGTAGCGGTCTATTACGTAGGACAGCGCTGAAGTATGAATGGCCCTATTGATGTAATTACATATAGCTAATGTCGATAATAATAATATTGCGGTATATTTATATATATCAAAATATATATCTCTGGTAGTGTTTTTTTTCCATTATTTTCACGTATTTTAGACACGATATCACGTGTGACAATAACTAAGAAATTTTACGAGTTATCAGCACGAAATGTATCATCACTTAAACGAGATTGAACTTTTGAACGTGGACGTAAAAGTCAAGTAAGAAAAATATCTTCGGCAGAGCGCGCTCTTACGCAAATCGACAATTAATCCGCAAGTCTTCGCACAATCGTATTTAAACGAAATACTCGGTTATTTCAAATCTACTTGTTTGACTCATTAACACATGTGTGTGGTATTTACAATACAATAACCAGTGCAAGTCTAAGGCGCGATTGTACAATACAATAACCAGTGCGAGTCTCAGGCGCGATTGTATGTGCGACAAATCAAATTTTACAATACAAATAACTATGTTCCAAAAATCACGTGGGTTTGATTATGTCAATGACACGGTAAATTTGTGATTATATTTGATCTCAGAATCTTAAAAATCGCGCTACTTGTATCACTACTTGTATCGCTTAAAATTCACTTTAAATCGACATTATATTCTTATAAGATCTAATTACGCCAAATTCCTAGGAAATTATAGAGGACAGTCTCCGACACAACTAAAACTTATGTGACCTTTGGGAAATTTTCACGCGCACTCAGATAATTATATTGATTGTGAGTTTACAAAACCTATTTCAATACACAACTAAAACTTATGTAACCTTTGGGAAATTTTCACGCGCACTCAGATAATTATATTGATTGTGAGTTTACAAAACCTATTTCAATCTTTATTGACAAGAAGAGGACTGCAAGTGCAACCGCGCCTTTGAAATACGATTTATTCAAAGATAGTTCTTTGTGCTTATGTAAAAAATCCCAAACCATAGTTCCAGGTACTCATTAATTTTTTCAAAAATTAACAATATAAAAGTTTTAAGTTATCATATCAATTAGTCACTTGGTAAGATCTCAGATAAAGGACGAAAAAGTACGTTCTAGAACCAATTGACTTGTGAGATCTTTTAACATCCTTTGGATACAATCCGCCAAAAAAAAAGGATCTCAAAGATCAAAAACGATTTTGGAAATCGCAATCAATATTTATTTGTATTATAAAATTTGATTTTTCGTACGCGCGTACAACCGCTCAGATTTTTTGCAATAGGCATTGAATTGTAACATTCGATTATTTCAATTGAGATCATCCTAAATTGATCGTTTTGGTCGTAACACCTTTATCGGTATCGTTTTGGGCAATTTCGCAAAATAGATATTGCTTTTAATTATCACACTGTCATTGCCAGTGGTACGGAATAAACCGTTATCATCTGTCATCTAAATGACCATCGAACCTTTTCGCTCTATTTACAGGATTGTTAGCGAAACAGAAGAAAATTTTTTAATATTTTCCCAGTTACCTTTTAAAAAAAATTCTTTGACTAAAGCCTGAAAGAAACTCTGAATAAGACGATTCTAGAGGACCAATATATTTAACTTGGTTGACAACTAAAATTCTTGAAAATGAGTCTTTGCTATATCTAGCGATACTAAATTAATTTGTGACAAAAAACACAAACGTAAATTAGAACAATAATTAATTGCAAATCAATGAAAAATATTTCCTGTCACGTTAAAAAACGGCCATAAACATAAGATTTTTTATATTTATAATCTGTAATTATATCATATAAATTCACTTTTTTAATGTGTATACGTACACTCTTTATCATGTGTTAGATTGTATATATTTTGTGTATTACGTATACTTTTCTTTAAAAAGATCATAATTATAATACATACAATAAATCAAAGAATTATTTATCTTAAGAAACAAGTTGCAAACATAAATAACAATACTAAACGACTTACAATATGACTACGATGAGTCAAAAAACAAATGAATTACGAGAAACAGCATATTTTATCTTTATTTTGCACATTGCTTATAGAGACTTAATCATCCCATTAAATACTACGTCCTAATTATCATTATAATTAATTTTAATTAGAAATGATTTACAAAATGTCATTAATATATACATATTTCGACTTTTACGAGTTTTTTTCTTTTTAATAATTTGCGTTAATGACTTTCTACAAATGGTAACTGCAAAATTAAAAATTCTAAAAAAATATTTACAATGCTTTAAAAAAATTTTTTTAATTCTACTTAATCATTTTTATATATAAAGCAAAATTTAAAAATTAGAATTGGTACAACAGTAATTTATTTTTATCTTAAGTTAATAAATTCCTTGATTCCCTGATTTTTCCCGGTTTCCCCGGCTTTTCTTGACCTTCTATTTTTTTTTAATTCCCCTAACTTTTCCCAGCTTTCCAAAAATTTCCGCTAACAATCCTGTTTTAATTAAACGTTGCGGCGTATAGCGTATGCCTTTTCGTATTATATTTGTGATAAATCGAGTATAGCAAATGTCTCTATTTCGTGTAAAACTAAGGTTTTTTTTATGTTAACGAGACAGTAGAGATATTTAGCGGTTTATTGTTGCAAGTAACATTCTCACGTATATCATCATAAGCTTTCATGATAAATGTTGATTTTAGAATGATATCCAACTTAATAAGGTTTAATTATCTAACAAAATGACAATAATCTTAGACTTTAACAAATTAAAATTTAAAATCAATCGATGGAATTCCAAATGTCTTAAATAAATTTTTAATCAAAGAGAAGATTTCTTGTTTAATTAATATCGTCCCTAGTTAAGAAAAGTACTATCATATTGAACATAGACACTGCTTGTGCTGCACAAAGTAGAGCTCTAAAACCGTACGAATGTATCCGAGTCTCGAGAAATCATTTTACTAAATCATCATTCGATAGTACGAGTTCGCTGATATTAGCAGCAATGATCGTTTTATGCAGTCTCAAATACTGGTTACGGTCGTCGATTTTCAATCTTGACGACATCTGTCGGAAACGACAGCTTTATTTTTTTGCAATCCTCCAGCCTCGGACAAGCAGCCAAACGCGATGTGCTTGTCAAATGTGTCACAACGTCTTAACATTACATTTTGCAATGCGATGTAACGTTCGATGACGTCATGTGACAGTATTTTTAGGTGCGTAGAATCTCTCACATTGTTGATAATTGTTGCTATTCATGTAGTCTTATTGTTCTTGGACATATTATGCGACGCCCAATTCAACGACGTTTTCCACGAATTGCAGAGAGCCTCGTCGAATTTGCTCCTAAAATGCTTTTGTGCCTCGCCTTCGGACATTTCTAGGACCTGTAAACGTATTTAAATGCATTTGAATGTACTCATTATACTTAATTGGATATATTAATGTATAATTTAATGGCTACTCTCTGTACCAAGGTATCTCGAAGATAATTCAGATCTTTCTCCGACGAGAGTTCAGGCAAACCGGTAGATATCATCATGGCAAACAGAGACAATATAAGTCCTCCATGTTGGCGCAAAACTAAAAAGGCTTGCTCGCAATGATTCTGAAATCTTTGAAACTCGGCAGCGTGTCCTTTCTTCGTTTGACCTTTATTTATGACATGTACGAAATCATTGGTCAGAACGAAGGGTACTCGTTCGCGTCTGAATCCGAATTTCTCCTTAAAGTGACCCAAAATGTGACCAAAATCGACGTGAAACAGTTGCCCAGTCTTCTTAACCATTATATTGTCAGAATGTCTGTCAGCTATTCCTAAAACGTACGTCGCTACGCAATATCCCGCGCAACTCAAAGTAAATTCCTCGATCGCTTTGTTCAACGCCGCTTCCGTGTGATTGTGATCCTTCAGCCAAGCTAATAAGGAACCTCTCCTGTAAATACAAAGAAATTGTGAAGAAGTCTCACTGATATATATTTATTGAATTATATCATTGGATTATATTTTGTATTTTCACTACTCACCTGAAGGCCGCCGTCGCAGAAAATGTGCCCTTTTCCTTCTGAATGTTCGCAATTGTTTCCGCATTTAGCACCACCTCTATCATTCCGACTCTGTTCTCCGTAGATATGCAACCATATGGATTCATACGTAAATCCAAGCCCTCCTTCTTCCAGAGCTTGTCCATAATACGTAGCATCTGGAGTGTCAACATGTCTTGTCTCAAGTCATCTCCGTGTTTGAGAATTAAGTAAATATCTTCGCCAAAAGGATCACTATTCTCGAAAACTAACCAGAGCGGACGCATTTTGCTGTCCATTAATCGGCATTTTTCGATTCTGATAAAAAGAAAACAAAATGATATAGGAAATGTGAAAAATAACATATTCAACAAGTAAAAATGGTAAACTCACTTGATGCGATTCCATCTGAAACTCGGATCAAGGGGATTAAGGACATCGGATATCGCCTCCTGGCAGTGTGGTTCCAGGATGATGTCTTGAAAGCCCTGAAGGGCGGCCTTACGATCCTTCTTCAGCTTCACTTGCTGCGAAACACTCCTCAGTTTCTCCAAGCACTTCATCTGTTTAAATAACGATAACATATGCTGTTGGCTTCCTCTGCAATATGCTTCCAATATGAGACCGAAACGAACGGATACTGCGCCAACCTGCATTTCTGATCTAATTTTCAAGAAATGAGCAGTGAATTAATTCAAAGTGTAAGGAATAAAGATAATCGTGAGGCTTCATGTAAAGCGGTCGACTAATTATTTAATCTCGATTGTCACCTCACATGTGCCTCGATTTATAAATACCTGATTAATTAAATAATTAAAAGTTAAAAAAAAAAATAAGATGATTGTAATTTATTTTTAGAACAATAAACTAACACATGTAATAATACTAAAAGAGATTGTAAATTATAATAAGCAAATAAAATGCATGCAAATTCTGTTGCCTCTAACCTGAGATGCCAAAATAAAAAGTGTCCTATTCTCTGATTATTAAGTGCCCGTTTTAAGAGAAACTCTGTCAAAGGACATGCCAAATAATTCTCATGTTTTAAGGCTTGAGCCAGCTGTAACAGGTAGAGACTGAGATCGTCGTCTGTTACGTCTCTTAAACAGCGAACAGCGAAATTTCTAACATTTTGATCAGCGTAAGCGTAGTCTAACAACTCCAACGCTTTCTCTACTGGCAGTTTCGGCCATTGTTGTATAAGCGCAGTGGCCTCCGCAACTTCTCTACAAAGGTTCACGAGTCTTAATCTGTTTGTTATCTTTCGTAACAACTTTATAAGCAATTAATCGATTAATTTCTTACCTATGATCGTTCCACTCAACGCATTGTAACAGTTTAGCCAAAAGCGTCGGGATTTCGCGAAGACAATGATGCCTCAACGCCCACATTGTCTTCTTCTCTTGTTCATGTAATTCGTGCAGCGGATCCCTGTCGGCTAGTAATCTCAATTGTTCCAATTGTTGACTACCAACATCAGACTCCTGATTTAATTCGTCTTTAGCTAAGCGCTCGTTAGATTGTTCTCGCAATGTTTGGGCATATTCCACCATTTTTTCCGGAGTAGGATATAAGACACATTGATCTTTTCCATAACTATAAAATAATAAAAGCAGATATGTGACGCATAATATAATGCAGTATTCTCACTTTATAAATAAGAAAATAAATAGTTACTTTGGAAATGTTAACATGAGAGCAGCTGCCCTATCTATATGTGGATTGGACACTACTGTCCCAAGGGGATGAAGCAAATCGTCATTTTGTATATCCTCCGCGTATGTCCATGTATATAATGTCATAGCACCCGTTTTTAATTGTGACTTAAAATCATATATCGTCGTATTCGCCCAACATAAAGGATTTATGAAGAGCTCCTGCTTCGAATCCCTAATCAGTCTCCTGCTCTTTAAACCCTTCGCAGTTTTACTGATCTCATATAATACAAAGCACAGCCGTGCCATTCGCGGTATATCCCTCACTTTAATGTCGAATTTGAGAGTCTCTTCCCATTCGCAGCTACCGTCGGAACTTACAATAATTTCTTTGGTTTTCTGACTTTCGCAGAGGGATTTTCCACCGTGAAAAAGGCCAGCTTGCAGTCCAATCTATATGTACAAAAGAAACAAGGAACAAAAATTACACAAATCTCAAATAAT